CTTTGTTGCTTCTGAGCTAGATGGCCGCTTGTTTACCTTCAAGCCTTAAGACCCCAGACGCTATAAGGCTATATATATTTATGGTAGGTTTGAATCACCAACCTTTTGATTAACAGTTGAGAGCTTATTTATTATGCGACTAAGGCTCCTATAATTAAACATAGTAGGATTGTAATCACAGCATAAAAGACAATGCATGTGGTAGTTGCACAAAAGGGCTTCAAAAAGTTCATGGGAAAATCCCATATATTTTACTTACATTTTTCCATGAATTTTTGAAGCCCCTGTGCATTCACTCAATAAGCAATAATGCTAGAGATATAACAGCGAAAAAAATCGTGGAAGAAAATAATGCAGCTTAACAAAACTAAGTTCATTTTAAACTAAATTAAATGTGTCACTTTTTCTACTATTTAAATTTTTTTAAGGCAAGGTAAATTTTCACTAAATTAGAGCATGTGGCAATATCAAACTGACTAAAAAACTCTAAGAATTGTTATGTGAAAAAGAAATTAAATTTATTCCATATTATTCCAGCAACACACAACATAAAACAAGCTATACCAAATTCTATCCTTATGGATTTCTAAGTTTCTACCTTTTAAAGAAGCCTTTTTCAACACCTTCATTGCATACAGCTGCCCGGCATCAGGACCAGTCTTCTTCCTAACAAGAAAAACCTAATGGAGAAGAAAAAGTTATATCCAATGTTCAAACCATTGTTAGTATAAAAGAGGGAGCTTCAAAAAGATTGTGGAAAAAATGGAATTCAAAATAATTAAATTTCCCCACGATTACAGGCCTTCTTAATTTCATTATCTTTTATTTCCATTTCCATGAACTTATAGAAGCTCCCTTGTACATAGTGCTATAAAATACTCATATATACTTACATTTCCTCTAGTTTTATAAAAACACACACTCTTCTATAAATTACATTACAACATTTTTAAATATTTTCCCACTTTTGATCATTTAGTAAAGCACACTCAGCACACATACCATTGTACAAAATACTTAAATAGATGATATAGAAATAATAGTGTTATAACACCAGCATACTACTTTGAATTAGAAACTATTTTTAAGACCCAAGCCCTTTTTTGTTACCTTGGTAAGAGCAAACAAATGCTATCACTGCTAGTTTCTTTTCTTCATTACCATGTCTTTATTGATTTGTTTTAGAAGTTACCAAACATTATATTTTCAATAAGAAATCAAAGCAATTTTTATCTCTGGAGGTAAAATAATTGAGATGGTACATTATCTCAATAAACAAATGAAAGTTAAACTCTATAAAGTTATCAAGCAAGCTTAAATAAGACCATGTCTCATTAAAAGTTACAGTCTTAAAATTCTCAACCAATAGAACAAATGAGTAATAATTTTTATAAGAAATTATAAGATTAGTTTTTATATATTAGGAAAGGGATGGCTCATTTAAAAAGTTACTACAACTAATTTGCTACTTCATCCTGCCATCCCAAGCTCTAACATTTCTAATTACGTGTTAAAAATTAAAATTCAATTACCATATATACTCGAGTGTAAACTGACCCGATTATCAGCTGAGGCACTAATTTTACCACACAAACTGCATTAAAAATATGCTGAAAAACTTGTTATACGTGAGTATATACGGTAAGTGCCTACATTATTCGTGATGTGGCATTTTATAAAAGAAGCCATTAGATACAGTCTAAAAGAGTAATGATTTGTTTTTCAATTGTGTGGATGTCACTTCTGACCTGCTCTGGCTACACAAAAAGAAAGGAGAATCCAACTTCACATATGTGCAAGGAAGATTTCTGTAAGGCAAATGTCAAATATGCCTCTAACCTCCAACTGTCTTTACCCGATTCTGACACCCACAGTTCCTCCATGACACTTCACCTTTCCTAGCTTTAGAAACCTCATCTCCCTTACCCTTTCCATACAATCAACTGCAAATTGCTGCGTAGTAACAACAAAATTTCATCCTGATAGGTTTCTTTTCAAATGTGCTAATTCAACTCTGGGAAGTAATGCTTAATACGAAATTTTTAGACTTTTTATATTTGTCAAGTAAAAAGGTACTCAATAAGTATTTGTTGAAGTGACCTGAAAACATCACACAACCTTAAATCATTACTGAAGAGAAAAAAACAACTGTAGGAAATGTTAAGACATAAACTTATACATGAAATTATGTCCAAAAGCATTACTATAAAATCACAGAAACTTTAAGTAGGCAAAAAATATCAAAATGTGTTATTTTTCTTGACATATTATTTCTCTATATAGCTTCCATCTATATCTACACACTTCTAAAGGCAGTGAGTGTTTCAATCTCTCTAACCATTCCCTGAAGCAGTCTGTGTTAATTTACAATATCATATAACAAAGCAATTACTTGCAATGACACGAAATTTTTACCTCATGAGCTTTTATTATGTAAGTCAAACATTTAAGCATTTTCTATTTAAAAGAACTATAGCTCTGTTCTAAAACAAACACTATAAAATAACTACATATCAGACAATAGTTAACAAAATATCAGTTTTTTAACATAAAATAAAGGTTTGTTAAATACATGTGTGAACTCTACAAGTCAATAATTCAATATTACTTCTCTTCAGTCTATTAACAGTTCCCTCTAGTTTTGCTCTCTCTAGCACAACTGTTCATGTACTATCTTCTTGTCTTCATATATCCCCTCTACAACCTCACTGCCAAGTCACATTCCACATTGTGTTTTATTTCTTGACATTTCTTTCTCTCTACTTCACATGTTATATTTTGTACCACCTCGGTATCAAGTTGGTTTAAAACATTATATACTTTATATCCACCGATGTTGTAAACAATACAACTGTTATACATACACTAGGTAATCAGCAAATGCTTTTGTTTTAAAATATTCCTGAACACTACAAATAACCACTATTCTGCTCAACTGCCTTACTTCTATCCTTTGAAAATGAAATCCAGTCATCCTGAAATTAATTGTTTCTTTTTGCCTTTCTCCTCTTCAATTTTTGTGCTTGCTGTTTTCCTAAATGTTCATTTCATATATGTTGGGTGTACATGTTATAATATTCACATCTGAGATATTAGGTACGCAAGTCAGGAACAAGATCTGCATAGTTCTTTCCCTAGAACCATGTCATTAAGCAATTAATAAGAAATCCCAATGTTGTTAGGTGCCGTTAAGTCAGTCTGAATCATAACGACCCTATGTACAATCTCACAATTGTTCTTTATGTATCAGTCCATTGTTGCCCCACTTTGTCAATCCATTTTGTAGAGAGTCTTTTTCTTTTTCACTGTTCCCCTACTTTACCAAACATGATGTAATTATCCAAGGACTGATCTCTCCTGACAACATGTCTAAAGCACATGAGACAAAAGTCTCATCATCCTTGCCTCTGGAGAGAATTCTAGATATACTTCTTCCAAGGTAGTTTTGTTTGTTCCTTGGTATTTTCAAGATTCTTCTGCAGCACCATAAGTAAAATGAATTGATTCTGCTTTGTTCTTCCTTCTGCAATATCCAACTTTCACAAGCACAAGAAGTGATTGAAAATACCCAGGCTTGGGTCAGGTAAACTTTACAACCTCAAAGTAACATCCTTGCTTTTCAATACTTTAAAGATATCCTAGCAGCAGATTTACCCAAGGCAATCAATATCCCTCAATTTGTCCTTCTGCCTTGAAATTTTGGGTCCTTGAAAGCAGAATTTCACACAATTAATATATCCTCTAGTACCTAGCCTTGTCACACTTTACACATGTAGTACTTTAATAGATGACAGATAAATGGACACATAAATTCTGACTTCTATGATAAACATAAGGAATGTAGACTAAGTCATCAAAAAAGGTCAAGTTGTGTTTAAGCCAGCATGTACACACAGAATGAGAAAACCATTGTCTCTAAAATGTAAACTATCTTGATTTCGTGAGCTAAAAAATAGCATGCTATATTTCGTTCTAATGAAATTAGTAAGTCTAGGGGATTGGGAAACCTTGATTATTACCAAAAACCAAAAACAAACCCATGACTGTGGAGTTGATTGTAACTCATAGTGATCCTACTGGATAGAGTAGAAATGCTCCACATAGTTTTCAAGGCTATAAATCATCACAGAAGTAGACTGTCATCTTTCTTCTGAAGAGAAGCTGATGAGTCTGAACCATCAAACTTACTTAATCCTCTGTAGCACTAGGATTCCTGATTATAGAAAAATATGATGAAATGGAAATGAAAGCATAAAGAAACGAAAGACGTAAAATGAGAATGACATTTGTGAGCATCATTTTGAGAAATTTGGAAATGGCACATTTATCAGAACTCTTTGTACATAGACAATGTTTTCCTAAATGGTTACCAGAAAAAAAAATTGGGGAAGGCAGTCATTCATACCTTTCCAAATGATCCCTGACCAAGAACCTTGAGCAATTCAAACTGTGCAGGATCTGCCTTCTCATATCCTTCTTTAACATGATGAGTAATAGGGATTTCTTTAAAAACTCCTTCATCCTGTTAAAAGAAATCCAAGCAATATCTAAAGATTAGCTCCATTTAGCTGGAGAGACTAATTTATCCCACAAAGTTCCCCCACAATACAGTGATACCTTGGTTGTTGAACTTAATTTGTTCCAAATTCATGTTCAAACACTGAAAAGTTTGAGAACAACATATTTTTCCCTTAAGAAAGAACAGAAACCAAATAATTGGTTATGAGGCCTAAAAATTACACTTATAAATTCATTTTCCCAAGACTTTAAATCACTATGAAGGCTTTTAGCCTTCTTTCACATCCCTGTCTTGGATACAATATCACTATCGAGTTGTTTCTAATTTAGCCACTTTAAAAACATTTTTTTAAATGTTGATAACGTAGACTTAGCCATGTTGCATTTAGCTGCCAAATCAGAGAAGCAGTGATCTGATATAAATTTAGCAATTTCTTTCTTTAACTCTATCGTTGTTCTCGGTTTTCCTCTTAGCTTTACTGCTCGTATCACTAACTCTCTTTGGCACCCGGGCTATGATATTTTACACAAATAATGTGCAAAAAATCACAATGGTGAATGTATTAACACACTATCATAATGTGAGCAAGAACAGTGCTCAGAATGAAGTGTCATGTCAGTTGTGTTCGCAGTGAGACTTAAGTCATGACTCACTCTTGGCTGATAAAGGTTTATTCAGGTCGGATTTTCGGTTCAACTATCAAGCAATGTTCTGAAGACCAGGCAGGTTTTTTTGCGAACTTTGTTGTCTGAGTAGTGGAAAGTTCAAGCTTAGAGCTGCTGGAAACCAAGGTATCACTGTACCAGAAATCATATAACACCTAATTCCCTCAAGACAGCAAAATACGTAGTTTTTATGAGCTAAGAATATACTTACTTCCCCATTTTCTAACACATATATACTACTACCATTTTCCTTACTATATAATTTCATTTAAATAGAAACATGAAACCTTTAGTATTTCAACTATGTAGCAATAGAAAAAAGATGTTAACAACTAAGTAGCAAGAGCAACAGGGGATTGTGAGTTTGAGGTAGATACAAAGGAAGTTACATAAAACCTTATATAAGACATGCGAAAATAAGAACCTCAATTGCTCTTTTAAAAAGTATTTCACCAGGCCCTGTTAATGCTATACAAGTATTTCAATATTCAATTCACCATATTAATGATAAAGGTATTGATATAGACCACATAAGAAAAATTTACAAATATTTACAGGTCAGTGTCCTACTGTTATTGAAAATCTGTATAAAAAGTATATGCCAGATTTCCTACAACCTGCACTCGTCATAAAGGAAGCAGGGCTTCTGACAAGTCCATTCTGGCTTGACACCCTGTTGAGCATTTATACTTCTACTTCAGATACAGTGCACCACGAATCACTTGGGGATCTATAAGAATCACCTAGACATAGCGATAAAATATAAATTCTAATTCAGTATACTCTAGGTAGAAATGCATGTTCTCAACAGGAGGTGGAGTCAAAGAGAACCTCTTATTTTTCCCCAACAGTTTCACTGGCACATAGCTTACATATCATACTATTGAATAGTTCAATTGTTCAATCATATCAAGGGAAACTGCACAATCAGCACCACGTATATCTTAGAGCATTCCCTGCCCCATGGTTAAATCGCCTTTAAAATGCATTGTTCAATCAAAATCAGTTCTAGTGTTCCCTCCCGACTCTTGCCTTATTTACTCCAGAAATCCCCTTTCCCTCCCCATCGCCTGTCTATCCCTCACCCTTGCACTCCCTATAACACTTTGTATCAGTTATTATCATTATACATCCACTTCTCCTGTGCTTCACAGCTGGGAAACCCACCAGAAGACAAAGAAAAACAAATTGCACTAATGTGATATGGATAAGATCATATTAGTATAAAGACAAAACTACAATAATCCATGACAGGGAGAAGACAACCCCCCCGCCCCAACCATTGACATTCATGAAGTCAGGGAAGAAATTTCTGTTATGGAACATCTCAGAGATACTTGCACCCAGAACAAATTCAGATTGTGTCTATAGGGAAGTCAACTGGCCAAGTATTGAGTTCATTCCAGCATTATCAAGATTACAATGGTCTCTGCCTGACAGGAAGGTTATTCAAGACACTTGCGTTTGGCTACAGCAGATCTGTCAGCAGCTGGGTCTCACTAGATACTCCACAGATGAGTTTGGGGCTTCCACTGTCCTCCATAGCCTTTACAAATTAGGTATTCATAATTTTAGCTCAATACTATTCTCTTCACCATATTTGAATTTTGTAATTGTCATATTTGGATCATAGAAACTGGTGTGCTTCTTCTGCGTGGACTTAGTTGATTCTTCACTTAATATGGCTGTTTGTTTGAATACAAACCTTTAAGACTCCAGACACAATTCAGATTGATAGCCAAGCACCATCTACTTTCTTCGCCACACTTTGCTGTAGCATCCTTATGTTCAGTGATTATTTCATGAAGGTGAAATAATCAGGTCCATGATGTAAAAAGTAATTGTGCTTAAATTGGAGCTAGGTTTCAATGAGATACCATCTCCTTCTTATCTCCCCCACCCCTTTATATCACCTCTCCCCCCTCTTTCAAGAACCTCTTTTAAGCCCTGAACTGAAGTCACTCAGGGAGTTTTCTGATCCTTGATGCATTACTCTATTCAGTTGATAACTATGTTTCTGTGAACTTTAATTCTAGTCCTTAGATAAGCATAGTAGAGTTGGAAGAGGTAAATTAGGCTGAGGAATTTTAGCTTTGCATAACAGGAACCACTATTAAGTCATTCAGTGATTGATGGGGGGGACCTGTGAAAATATTTCAAAGAATTTTTTTAACTCATCAAACTATCTAGTAATCAAGCTTGTAAGCAGTCATAAAAGATTAATATTTAAATCTGTTATGAAAATAAGCTGTACCATTTAGAATGGGGCTCTTTTGAGTATTAAGAACCACTTTTAATAAAAATGCATATGATTTATAGCTGACATTTTGAAATTATATTTAATCATGGCATGTGTATGTACCTTTGCAGTATGAAAGATGTATGCCAAAAGCCCACCATATTCTTTTAATATGAGTAACTGAGGTTTGGGCACACATTATAAAAAAAAATTCTCACCAGTAGAAACAGACTTTGTTTTGCTCCTAGCTCTGCCATTCCTAAGCCTTGGACAAATCAGAAGTCATTCTCGACTTTTTTCATATTCACAAAAAGAAGCATGTTATATGAGTGGCTAAGATCCCCTCTAAATTTGTTTTTCTATACTGGACACAATATACTATTCTGATGTATAAAAGGGCCCATCAGTTCCTGCCATGCTTAAGATCATCATTATAAACATGGATCATATTGAAGTTATTTTTTTATTACAACCTAAGAAAGAATTGCACTCCAGTTTCACCAAATATAAGGGATACAAGTCAAAGCAATTATCAAAAATAACTGGATTTATATGGACTTATGATCTGTAAAAAATTATCTGTAAAAGTAGAAGAATTCTAAGTCAAGTGAATGGTAGTTTAATGTGGAGAGAGAGAGAAAGCGAGCTGTGGCACTTTAATCAATCCCATACTTGAGCCAGTTTAAGACCCCACAACCTCTGCCCCCTATTTTAGCCAAAGTCTAACTCCCACCAAATGGCCTTTCCCTACCTGGGTCTGGAAAGATGGTGGGGAAAGATACTGATAAGATTACCCTTTAATTGCAAACAGGCTTCCCTGGAGTGATATCCTAAAACATATTAAATGAGCCCCCTGAGAAGCAGGAGGATGGATCTCATTACCAGCAAGAGCAATGTGTGGAGCGAGCCCTCTGGACCTGAGATCCCTGGACAGAAACTCTCCTCGATCCAGATACACCATCCATCAGAGAAACAGCAACAGAACCAGGAGCCAAAGCATAGAACAGAGTGGTGGGTTTCCCAACCCACAGACTAAATCAGGATGAGTGCTTCTGTACTGGAGGCTAGCTGGCTGATGGGGTGGGGTACCTCTTGAAACTTAATTAGAGAAGTTGGACTTGCTGACCCAGAGAAGTGGAGTTGAGTGCCTTTGGGCTGAAGTTTACTAGAGGTTGCCTTTAGGCACTTAATTCAGAAAGGGGGGCTTACTGAATTATGTAAGTGAAGCTGAGGCTTACTGCAGTGGGGTGCCTCTGAGCACCTAATTCAGGAGCTGGGTTTGTTGGCCCATGGAGGTTGAACTGAATGTCTTCAGATGGAGACATACAGCAGAGTGGCAATGCCTATGGGTATTAATAAGAAGACCTGAAACTTTGTAGCATGTCCTGGTAAACTACCCTGAGCATTTCTCACTGGAATTATAACTTCTTTAATAAACCCTTCAACCATTAGTTTTGTCTGTGGGTTTCTGTGTAGTCACTGCAATGGATATTGGAACCCAAAGAGATCAAGTAGAGAAGTACAACAGAGATATTAAGACAACTCACATGGCCAAATGTGATACTGTAACTCTTCCTCCCAAACTTATCAAAAGGACTCTAAGGACTTTTATGAGAGCAATCACTGGGAAAAAGGAAATAATCAGACTTTTCAGGGATTACAGAACGCTGGCTCTGAATTCCAAGAGACTCAAGATGTTGCTATGGCCCACCAATCACTAGGGGTATATAGAACTCAGGTTATTGGTGCACTCTTAACTCAAACCTATCTGGCACGGAGTCCAGTGGCTCCCTGCATCCATTCTGTAATGAATTCTGCAATTCCTGAATGCATAACTGGCATAGACACGTACAACGGGCAGAATCTCCACAGCGGATCTCTGACATATAATTAAGTAAGGACTAGTATGGTAGGTGCAAAATGGATGTGGATTTGACCTCTGACTTGACAAGGAGGAAGGAGAATCAAACTCATCAACCTAAAGCTGATTCCTATGAGGCTGCTGTCAGAAAGATCTGCACCCTCCAAACTTCTTTGCCATCTGTGATGTCAAATGTCCTTCCCGCAGCACACTCTACTTCTCAGCAGAGTTTGAAACC